ACTATATTAGCTCTAAGCACTCAAAAACTCAAAAAGTTCGCTCCAATCTTAATAAATATAAACAAAAACTTGACAAGTAATCTGGCAGTCAATAGACCAGCTTTGAAATCAGTTAATGTAGAGTTTTGAGCCCACAGTATCACTCACAATATATTGTTTCTTACAGATTTTATAAGTTAACACTACTGACCTTTAGAATATCATTCAAAACTGTCACTTCTGGCCAGCTATCCTTTAAACTTTTTACACGTTCCATTAATGGTTTTATTGCTGCGATACATTTTTCAAGCTCTGATCGGCTATTTTTGCGATAAACATCAAATGATTGTAGATCTCCATTCACACCAATTTTTTTCAAAGCACGGAGATTATAAACTAAAAAAAATAGGAAAGACAAGACAGGAATTAGAGAATAGATGTATTAAAAAAAAATATTTGTTAAAAATCAAAAAACAAATTAATGTTAACCATTAGCCATCAACCATAATAACGCAGTTTCAAAAAATAGACAACATCCATTTTGACTAAAATAATGAAGAATAGGGTCTAGCAAAATTTGTGGAAATAATTTCCGTAAATATTTTCTATTATATGTATGACAGATACAAAAAATCACCAAAAAATTTTGAATCTATATAGTCATCTAGCAAACCACACGATAACATTGTATCGATTATCCATGCGAAAGCCATATGTATATTGCAATAGTTGATATCTTTTTTATCCACTAACAAATAGAGTAGTTCTGCCAAATTTTCACCAGTAATGTAATCTTTTGAGCTCAACTTATAACATACATCATCAAATTCGTGCATTTCAGAGCCGACAGAAGAAAAATCGGGTAGAAGCTCATGCATCTAAAGATAGGAGTTCAATAAACAATTCAGCAAATTGTAAACAGGAAAATTGGATGTTTTTCCTCTCAATATACTTATCATATATCTAAAGAAACTGAACATGTACCGGATATCTAAAAGTATGAGTCTGGACATACGATGTGTTTCTTGTCATTTCAATATAATCTTTGTCAAAAAGATAGATAAAAATGTAACCGATCGTAAGTTTTCAAGAATTTATGGTTCGATCTAACGAAATAAATGAAAGTGATTCTAAAAATTGTAGATAAAATCGCTGAAACATAGTATTTGATCATTAGTTTTATCTTTTCCTATTTTCAATACCATATATTTTCACATATTTCATCGTACTTTGACTCATCCTTACCTTGATTTCATCTTCATCGACGTCTCTTTCTTCACGTCTTACGTTTCTTTCTCGATAGACATAAGTTTCTTCTTGCTTTTCAGTATGATCTTCAAACCATTTTTGCCATTCATTTTCTGCAATTTTCCTTTCTGATTATAATATACATAAAAAAATTTTTGAAATTTCATTCAACTTTTCTTGCCAATAAAATATCCATTACAATAATACCTAAGTATTATTGAACAAAATAAATGCCAATTAAAATCTATGAGGTACTTGGAACTAATTTGTCATCGAAAGTTGAGGAATTTGTTGGTATTAATATTTTTCACGTTATAAAAATACTTACTAATCCATTTAATAGAACTTTCGATTACACACCGTTCTGAGTCATAAATGCTTTTACTCTGTTTATTTTGCCATAAACAAAAGGCAACTAATTCCTTCTGTAATTGTTTCGGCATTGTAGTAGTCTCCGAAATACACCAATCGAATAAAACGTCACAATCAAGTTGATTATAAAAAAAACTCCATTTGATCTGCAAATACTGTTGATTACCAATAAAAGTAAAAAATAAGAAACTCAATTTATAAATCATTACATTTAGGGCAATTTTATATGTACAACAACATGAAGAAAGAAAAATTGTCATGCTACTAGAATGATAATTCACTTGTAATCTTGCACGGATAACTTTTTAGTAATTATCAACATTTATACTGTTCTTGAAATTAGAATTGCATACAAATGAAACAAAAATCATGAGTAGAGTAGAGCACTTAAATGATGTTTACCTTGCACTCAGATGGGAAGTTGTAAGTAACACTTAAATGGTGTAAGTGCATTTTTCGGAGTAAATGTAAACGTTTATACGAATTAGCCACGACCAGAACGTTCAAAAGCATAACATACGGGAAAACAATATCCGGAAAGGCACTATATATCGCTAATACCCTCTTCAAGTACAACAGTTATCAAATATTGATTTAAGTAAAATGTTGGTGTAAAAATTGCTGATTTTATAAATAAACGTACTTCACAGAAAAATTGGATCGTTTTTGAAAAGCTTTCTATTTGTGCTATCGCTAACTTCATTTTAACTTGAGGTAAATCGTCTAGACGATTCATATTGATGTGTGATAACTGGCGATAACAATTATGGACCGTTCCCAGGAATGAATCCAATAATTTTATTAATGATGAAAACTGGAATTTTAAGTAGATTGAGTAAGCTACACCATCTGAATAATTGCTTGAAATCAAAGATGAAATACACAATAAATTTTTAGCTGAAATGTACGATAAATTTATTTCATAAATTAGCAAATTCATTAAAAGAAAGCAACATAGATCTGCACTTAGCAAAATAAAACTTGTCAAAAATGAGTAGGCATTTCGCACTACAAAATGACATCTTTGTCGTGGGATTCAAGTATGACTCACAAATTTTGATAAAAGATTTGTTCAAAACTTGCAAGTTTGTATCCAGGGCGGTAAGTATCAGCATTTTCAGCATAATTCTTTGACTCATTAATCACTGAATTTCTTGTTTCTAGTAAACAGGCAATGAATGGGTGTTGAGATTTCGAATATAAAATTAAATCCTTTTGACCACTCATTACTTCCTGATATGATTGCAGAACACCAAGAATATTGTCCAGCAACAGTTTCTAAATTCCAGTCACTTATCAAAATTTTAAAAAAAATCACGATTCAATGAATAATGTTAATCATTTAAAATCCTTTTGCTCAAAAAAGTGAAAGAAAGTGAAAAAAAACTAGTGCATTCATCTTTTCACGTTATTTCTCTGGTAATATTTTACGTTACATATGCTCACCTTACTCATCAAATAATTGAAATTCAACTCATCCCTAAACACAGGATCAATGCAGTTATTTACTGGTACTGCAAACGGTAACAATTTATAAGCCAGAGATTCCAAATGTAATATTAAATCCGACAGAGCAATATTTGATGATTTTAGCGCTGGAATTTCTACCACGGATTCAAATTGACCGATTGCAGTCGAAAGCATTTCTCTAAACTCAATTAATACACAAAGACTAGGTAAGAAATTGCAGAAATCGAATTATAAAGGAAATTGCATGACTTCAACACAACTTACACAATGTTGGTTAACACTAATCACGATATAATGAACTTCATTTAGGTTAGGGTTTTGAAAATTATAGGGCATGAGACATGCTATAAATTACTAATAATAATAAATTATTTAATTTGTTTGTAGAGAAAGTCTTTGCGTGAATATATTATAAACTCACTTGTAATGTAACTTGAATGAGCCCAAATGTGGTCCTAATTTCCAACAATACAAACATAAAAGCTTGTGTTGTAGTGGAAAATCAATGAAGTTAGCTAAAGTAAATTTTTCTGGAACTGATTTGAAATCCATTGAATGCCATAATAAGGAGAAAAGTTGGGTACCCAGTGCAATCCAACCTAAATCGATATTCTGAAAGAAATGACAGTCAATTTAAAATCTACTGTGAAGCATATATACAGTAGTGCTATAAATTTGTTCAAAAGAATAATTGTTTCGATAGAGTGAAAGTAAACAACAACGATTCATGGTATCATACCACAAATCAGTGACTCTTTTCAGAAGTATATTCAGATTTTATAAAGAGATAAAATGTAAAAAGTAAAGTACACTTGAGCTTTCTATAAATATTGTTTTTCTGAACTCCTGCATCAAATCAAAAAAGGGGCTTAAAGGTTCAGAGGATAAGATACCATATTAACATGCATTTAAGATGAATTTTGGCAAAATATAGCAACTTACTTTATGAGCAAAAGCACAATTTTCAATTACATTGGAAGAGGCAAGATATTGAATAAAATATGCAACATGCGACCAGATTTCATTTTTATGTTCTAATAAAGATAAACAATAAAATTGTGCTGGATGATGTGACGATAACAATGATAAGTCAGTCGCAATCTGCAAAAGTTAATCAGGTTGATTTACAAACATTGTCAAAAGTCAAAATTAGAAGACATTACTAACAGCTACATCAAATAAGAATGCATGCACTTGTAAAAGCACAAATGCATTTATCAATATGTGAGCTAAATCTGAACCAAGAATTATATTTTGTTGTAATCAAATAAATTTAAAAATATAAATTAATTACTTGTTTGTTTCCATTATTTAACATGGCGAAGCCGCAAAAAACGTCTTTCAATAGTCTACAGGATATGTCAAAAATATCAAATTTCTCAATTTCTTCGCCATTTCCTTCTATAGAGCAATCTTCGTTACGAGTTTCAATGTTGCTTGAGAGCAATTTTCTCAGTTTTTGTTTCCACTGCAATTAAATAAATTATTCACAGAATTTTATCCCACAAAGTTATTAAGCAAAAGAAATTACCCAATACTGAAAAAAATCGAAAAAATTTAAGCTTTTTTGGCCTAAACAGCATTACGAATATGTTTGGCGTACGTAAATGTGATTAAATCATAATAAATTTTAACGAACTTCATTCCACTGTTCATAGCATCGAAATGGCACAATAAAGTTGCAGAGTTCGTGGAAAGTAATAAAATGTTCCCAAGCTCTTTTGTCCACAATCCACACTTTATCAACAGCATTTGCAACACTACATAAACTTGATGACTGCCTGAAATTGCAATAGAAATGTAGATCTCTGCCTATTCTGAATCATATCATTCATTTACAGCAAAATTCACAAACAAATTTCATGTTTCAACTTTGGAAGCACTTTGTAGAATATTTAAAATTCATATTAAGGGCTCAGCATATTTCTTGAATATACATCATAAAACTTCAGACGCAAATTACCCTTCTATAATCTACATCATAGCCCATTCTAAATTTTTTCATAGACTGTAAAGAACCACATGGCGCACCCATTGTTAAATCGCTATCTGATACGCCACTGGACCACCAAACCACTCTTATACTCGAATATCAGTTCTATAGAGACATAAATGAACAAGCTCTAGAAATGCAGTGAAAACTTCCTGTTTGAAAATACTGAAAGATGACTGGCTATTCAATCGTTCCCAAGCAATTTGCATAGAAGCACCACCAACTAGTGTATTTAGTGTTTGATGGCAAGATTCGACGAAAAGTAAAATGTTCCATATAATCTGAAATAATTTTGCGTCATTTAATATTAAATGAACATATTTTATAGATCGAGTAATTTCAGCAATTAAACTTTGTTATTTTAACTTGGAAATTTTCATTCGTGAACTCATATCTTGTTCTTGGTTCATGAATGTGTGTGTCCTCACCTATCTATCTCTTTATCTTACATTGTTAGTGCCGTAGCTATTAGTTATACTAGATGTTTGGTCAATTATAGTATTATTTCTCATAAAGATAATTCTTCAAATATATATTAAGACTGAAAAACAAAGGCTTTTCTGATCTTATTGTTGTGGAATTGATGGATCTGACAGCTCTCAATAAAAATGAAAAAGAATTTTCAAAATAAGTCATATACCGAGCATGATTCGGACACTGAAAGATTTTCAGGACAAAAATTGAGAATGCACAAATACAATTCGTTAAGCAGATTCTTTAAATGCAGAACTGCTGATGTAGGAAGTTCCTTATACCTAAGTTTACCTAAAAAATAACATTCTTTAAAACTCCATAATTTTAAAGTACTTTAAGTTGACTAAATAATTTATTCTGCTCATTTTAAAATGCAATTCAAAGTTGAAAAAATTTATTTTCACACTATAAAATTACCGATATTAGTGACAAAGTAATGGAGCTAACACTCTGATAAGAAAGCTTTGAGGACTACGAAATCTGACATGCTTTCTATATGTCAAATCATGCTATCAATAACTTTAGAATCTAGGACTTTGAAAAAAGATTTTGAACAAATTGCGTAACGTACCTTTTGAAAAAAGGTTGCTTATTTCAACAGCCGAGAATTCTTTAGGCAATATCGTGTCTAAATGAAGCTTTGCCCACACAGCACACATTTTAATGATGAATCTGAAAAACGAAATGCAAGCGCAACTAACAGACTCGAAATATCTGGCTATTTCAACGAACAAACAGGTGTATTCGAGCATATTCAAACTACATTAGCCAAAAAGCGCCGATAATTATACATCATTAACATAAAAAATAATGAATTAATATATATTTACTGCACTATATTCTGTTATAACATAGACTAAAATAAGACTTTGTTCTCTCTAGTGAACATACTTGTCTTGATCAACGAATGTATTGAGCGGTTCAGAAATTCGCAGAAACGGAGAACCATGAAAACGTTCGTCATAATTAAAATTTTCATTTTGTTTCAACTTCTCAATCATTTTAACGGCTTTCTTCTTTGACTTACTATCTAAATCATTGCAAAATATTCAGTTTTTATGTTTCTTTTCATCAAAATAAGCTAACTAATAACAAAACAATGCAAATGAAATGAATCAAATATTGGCAAAAAACAGTAATCAATTCACTATTAATAAATCCGATGAAACATATAATTCAAAAAGCAGAAAGTATAAGCATTCACATGCAAATACGTGATCACGTTGACTTTTATTTGAAAACAAAAGGAAAAAATGGAGAAAAAATTTTCAGTTTAAATTTTTACCGGTCCAACTAAACTTTTCAATAACTCCGTCGACTTCTGATTTGTTGAAAGGAACTGATAATGAAGCCCATAACACACCAAGTAACCAATCATGTTCACTTACAAAAGCCCAAACCAGAATTTCCCACTGTTTATATATAATAGCAAAATTTTCATTAACCGTGGGTCGAACTATGTATTTTTCTTCGTTGCAAACACTTCCTGATTCTTCAAATGTTATATCTTTGAAATTCTGAAACATTTAAGTTCATTGATTTTGAAACTATCCAGCACTATGTTTATAATAAACAACATTGTTTAATTCATACTGTTAAAAACTTTGTCAGTAATTTTGAATGCAGTCTACTAATTAAATCTCCCAGCACGATAAAAATAACCTTAATTTTAATTTCTTTAAATATTCTAAAACTTAAGTATTTACCAAAAATGAAATAAAATCAGACCTTTAATTCAGTCTCAAAATCTTTACCATCTCTTCTCAAAAACATTTTTAACTTCAATAACTCCCAACACGAAAGATTTCTGCATGCTTCCATTACTGCTGAGGGAATTTGAATAATACCTTCACTTTCCGTATTCAAAACAACGCTCTGTAGAATTAAAAATTCACAACTAGTATGTTATCCAAGAAAGTAGTAGAAGATCTCTGATACGGTAAACGATACAAAGGTATTCATAAATCTTCGAAAAGTTTTTTCAGAACGATAATTAGCTAGGTTATCACTAATATCAGAAATGTTTTTGGAAGAAAAAATTCTATTTTTACGAACTTCATTCTGAAACAAAGATTTTTTAAAAAATCAAATACCGCAATATCTTGTGGTTTTGTAAACCATGTGCATTCGTCAGGTGAAAGGAAGAGTTCTACTGAACGATTACGCATAGCACGCGATACCCTACCATAATTATGATCCATAGTAAAGAATACTCTAAAATTACTATTACAAATTGTTTTCTGTGAAAAATGAACGTGCTACTGGGAACGACATATACCAAGCAAATACAAGAATTTTTTCATAAGCAAAAAAAATTTCGAGAAATTTACTTATAAACAATAAGAAAATAACCGGAAATTTTTGTGCGCTTTCATAACAGAATTTGCGTTTCCAGATTCCGGTAAAGTCAACTCCCCACTGCTTTCCAAACAAGCATTCAGCCGGTCTAATACTGCTGCGCTAAAAATAAGATGTTATAACAATTATGACTGAGAATTATTGTTCCACAAAATAAGCAATTAACCTGCAGCAATTGACATTTTCAATTAATATCCAATCACCATTGATAAATGCATTGACAAATGGACTATTCACCCATCCAAAACGCATTCTATTTTTATTTAATTCTTGATTGCACTCTTCGAGTTTTTCAGCAGTTCCTACAACCGATAAAAATTCTTAAATAAATGAGTTGGCAATGTTTTACGTTCATCTCCAGTTTAGCAATAATGCTGAATTCTAAATTTCAACTAAAATAATAATAAAAAAATTTTTATCGAATTTATTATAATGAAAGAAACCAGAGAATTCAGTTACTGAAACACGAAATCTGAAGCAGCAGAATATGAAAGTATGGCTTGAAAAAAAAGTGTTTCATATGTTATTTTAAAAAGCAAAAATCAAAAACATATACGTTTATCTACAAGAAGTATTGCACTCTGTACAACCAATCTTAAGGCAAACGCATCTTCAGCACTTTTCACATCATTCAACAATGCTGGAAATGACGCAAGCGAATCCAAGCATTTTCTCTTCAGATTAGTGAGATTAACGTGACCAGAAACCTTGAAATGCTATGATGAAAACACGTAAGTGTTAAAAAAGCTTTGCACTTCGTCAAAAATATTAATAAAAGATAATGTCGAATATTTACTTTAAAACTGTTAGTATAATTTATAGGGTCTAACCTGTTCAAATGACCCAAGAAGATCAAGTGAATCAGATTCCGTAGTTAGACGTATTGTGTGCAACTCCGTGCCAAATAAAGATGCTAAAGTTTTTATAGCAGATGCCTTCCCGGAACCTCTTTTACCAACAAGTAATGTGAGCCAATTCATCCTAACACAGACAGCAAGTTTATCAAGTAATATCACTTGTGATGATAATAATTGCCTGAAAGACTCATAAGATTTGTAGAGTAATATCTAAGACTGAATTAAAACTTCAGTTTTGGACCTGCATCATGAAAATACAGTTCAGTTTATCCATTCTAATAACGATTCCTTCTTGCTTCTGCAATCCAGATTAGTTTTGCTTGTACTGTCTTTATAAGTCAATTCTGACTTTTATATTCCAAAAAAGTCATTCTTACAGGTTTTTCGGCCCACAGAATGCTTGTGGTCGTTTTATTTCTACTTTTCCTATTTGCAAATAAGCATCATTCACTGAAAACGATGCTAATGTCTCAGTGCATTCAAACTGGAAACTTTCATGAAACAAAATCCGCATCTGAAATCGTTAACAACAGAAATTTTAATCATTGACACATGCTCTTGTGCAGAAGTAATAAGTAGAGTGAAAACTATTTCTGTAAATTATTTGATAATTGTTATGAAAATCCCTTATAAACATATCATTAATAAAATTTGACGATACTTTTTCTTTATCTTCTTTACTACGAAGTCGCCATATATAGAGCAAATTAAAACCGTAAGCAATATCACCACCACTCTGAAAACAAATCAAAATTGTTCACAATCAAATGCAAGACCTATCATCCTTCATCAAACTTATAAGTATATTATTATGATCATTCCCTGCAAAAGTAAAATTCATTATATCTTTTAGACCTACCACGATTACAACTATATTTTCTACAGAATTGTGAGAGCTTGAATTATGAAGGAAAAATCAAAAAATCTAGAAAAGTTGTTATAATTATCATGCAAAGCATTACGAACTCTTAATACATCTATAATATGGTTCTAAGTTCAACAAACAAGCTAAAAATGTAATGCATTTAAAAAATTCCAACAAAAACTTCCACCCGCCTCTTTCGTTAACTCTGCCCATCTCAATAAATCTCGCAAATTAAATTCAAATGGTGATCCGTCACGAAGAAACTGCGTATCCTTTTTCATAAAATTTAATATTGAAGTATTCAAATTCACCATACGTTGTATAACATCCGCTCCCAATACAGATTCAAATGAATTTTTCATGACAACGAGGTAATCTGACGCCTCCATTTCAGATATATAAATCTGAAACTTTTTGATAATAGAAATACTGATAATCCTTCACTTTTTCCGAACGAATGCAATGATGATGTATAATTTAAAACATCTGTAACATTCATTTAATTACTTATGAAAGTACCACATTAGTTTCAAAAACTATTGTTTATAAGACACTGCCTGAAACTAATAATATTAGTTATCAAGGGATAATTAAGTCAACAGTATTGGTCAACATTTTTTTACGCTTTTCGTGGTCCGAGATTCCCGAAGTAAATAAACTTTCATTGATTACAAATGGAAGCTACCGATGTGAAACGGTTCATAAATGATTTTGGTAGATTTCGCCGATCACCACCTTGAGCACATGGATTTTGACAGGCAAAAAAACGTGTTCTTGTGGAATTTGCACCAACATCAAATGTTCGATTAAGTTGTGGTATAAAAAGCTGGTGACGATGATCAAAACATGCATTTAAACCTTCCAAAATACTTTGAGATGCCAAATTCATCTAAACAGAAGATAAGATGAATTTGATAAAAAATGATAAAATTGTAACAGGATGATCAATTATCATCCTTATATACTGTGCTAAATTAGTAAGAAACAAATCAAATCAAATATTTAAAAATTTACAAACATAAGCTTTACATTCCGAAAAAAATTTTTTGTTAATATTCAGTGACAACTTGCTTCCTATCAGTAATTTGAACCATTGAAAAATATTTGGATTGAAACCATAAAGACTGTTTTTTAAAAACTTCTACTGAGAAACATTATTAAGTATAGAAAAAAGTAATTTTGGTAATGAGAAAATTTCGGCACTTCATCTAAAAGAACCCAGCGTCCTGTTTTGATAGCGTGTAAAATTGGTCCATCTCTCCAAGCAAAAGAAGGTGTTCCATCTGATAAAACGATTGGTACATCACTACCAAATAAATCTGACAAATCCTGAAATGCAGAAATAAATTCAACATATATTACACAGATAAGTTTTCAGTCCCAAAAATATTAATTGGATTTCGATTTAACAACTCATGATTAATCATACTTCATATATGAGGGAAAAATATTTACCGTTTGTTCCGAGAGATTTAATCGCGTTAATGGATGACCTGTTATTGAAGAGAGGGCAACAACGGTGCTGGACTTCCCACAACCTGGTGGACCTTCCAATAATATTGGTTTATCGATAATTAATCCACGAGCAATCCTATAACACATAAAACCATTATTTTTCAAAATTGATAATTTCTTTCTACAGCGTACCCTTAGTCGTGCACTGAAATATAGGAACTTAGTACAAATCCTAAATGAGACAAAAATGTACTTTAGCATATGTACGATGTACTCATGATCTTTTGTGAAGATTATCTAAATGTTTTAAAGCTTCGGATCTACTAGTATCATGCCTTTTTTAAATATAAAAAATCTAACGAACTTTAGATTCACCTTAATTAAATACAATACATAATTAAATAGTTCAGTTAGAAGAAACAATACCTCAAAATATTTTTCCTGCATGTTAATGAATTAAATGTGAAACCTTCAGGTACAAATCGCCTCGACGATCCAAAAGGAATGAGAAACTTATCGATTACTAAACTATTCAATCTGTCTTCATCAATGGCTAAAACACTGGGATTCACAATAGAGAAAATATTACAAGCACTCCCCAACTCTTTTTCCATGACTAGGCAAAGCTGAAATATAGATTTTCGATCATAATTATAAACCAAATAGATTGTGTGATTCATATAAATGCGACAACTTCTTTCAAATTATGTAAACTTTATCCATTTACAATTTTTAACTTCATATATGACACAAAAAGTGTTTAAAAATACTTGTTCAATAGCTTTCTTTTTCAGATATTCGCAATCTATATTGATACGTGTCGATATGGTACCGAAAGCATCGAAAAGAGTTGCCGAAAAAGCATGATAAATGGAATCAGAGATAGAGTCAGTAAGTGGAATTGTGGCAGCAACGAGTTTTGTTACTGTTACTATGTCACGAATCGTGATAGTTATCCTGAAATGTCTTCGATTTTTTTTCTTTACAAATATGAAAAATCTAGCATAGCAATGAACATGTATCAAAAAACTGGCTTTGTCAAAGTAAGATTTTGCTAGCAGGCTTGAAAGGAAATTTTTCAACAAAGTACTATCAATTTTGCAGTTTAAATGAATACAAGTATACGAAAAAGAAACAATATCAAAAGAAACCTTAAAACATGCGAAAAGTTTTCACCAAACCATAGCACAAATTGTACAATACATCTATTAATAGCAGATCTATGTTCATCAAGCATAGAGACTGAGCTTAAAAGATGATTGACAATGGCAACCAAATCATTGGTAGAAACATCCGCTTGACACCAAATTTCCGTAAATCTGTTTCTTAATGCCTTTGAAAGCTATAATAAAATAAGATTACCATACGAAAACTAACTGCTTTTTATAAATTAAGACTAAGAAGTCACAAATCTGAAATTAAATTTTGAACTAATAATTAGCATTAAGTCCCAAAAGACAGCGAAACTCGAATAATTGAGATTCATCTTCTAATTTCTATCTTTGCATGTCGAGATAAATGAATACAAGCCTCTTTTTTCCCATAATCTCCGCTGGGATTCATGGTTGCAATAACATTAAAACCTCTTTCAGCTTTTACTTCAGTGCTTGATACGCCAGCATCATTCAGAAGCAATAATCTTGATGGTTCCAACAAGGGATTCAACCGCTCCAATACCTTTTAACAAACAGCACTCAGTTAGATTGAAACAAAAACGATGAACGTGAGCACACATATACAGAAAAGATATGGAAGAAAACAAGAAACCGAATCAGAAGCCAATGAGATCTCATCGATTAACACCGGCCGACCTTCTCTCATCGCTTGTATAACCACGCCATCTATCCATTTAAAAGTTCCATCGCCAACTGGACGTAACGAACCCAAGAAATCAGCAGCTTCTGTTCGTTCATGACAATTCAACGTCAGCAATGTCCCCTGTAAGATTTATTACAAAGAGAGTTACATAACTGTCAAACACGAATAATCAACATAAATATTAAACTTTTAATCGTACTCAAAAAAAAAAAATTACATTTGTTAGCAGCTCAGCTACTGTTGTCTTGCCGCATCCTGTCTCGCCAACAATTAAAACTGGTTCATTAAAACGCCAACTTTGTGTTACCAAAATAATCATCCTTCGAATGGCATCAGTTAAAACGATATTGTTAACCACGTTACAATATCGAAATTCAATCGGTAAATAATTTGAATCTCTGGCGAACAAGTCCTCGACATCAATCTGACGTTTCAAATTTTTTTCTAAAGTTTTCTTCACACATTCTGCATCAGTTTTATTACGGCATCGAGAACCAAGCAAGAGAAATCCTAAAATATGCATTGTCTTTAGTTTCAAATAAACTGATATAGAATAGCAAATACAAAGAATTTATCTATCAATACAAATTGTTCTAGCCATTACGACAAAGCTTAGGGATAAATGAAAAATTACCATGTTCTGCTAAGCTCTGACGCCAGTCATTATGATCTGTTCCTGCAAGCCGTTGCCCCCATCTGAACAAGTCACGAAGTGTTATTAATCCATCATTAGCAGAAAAAACGCCAACTGTGCTACGCTGAACACGTAAATCAGTAAATACTGATACCATCACTTTTGCAGCCGAAATAGCAATATTACAGCTAGAAAGAGATAAGAATTCAAGCCACGAAATGTCATGCTGCGGTAAATAATATCAACAACGCGTAGTGATAACTTAAATGATGAATTACCACACAATAAACGAATTTTATGTAATTTTTTCTATGAGATGACGCATGAGCTATTTTATTTTTTAAAATAATGAGATTTATCTGAAATAAAGCAGATACGAGTGATAAAGACACGAACTAATTATTTGCTTGTCTTTTGTATCGTAAATTAAGTTACTTTTTGACTAAAATAAAAAATAATCAGCAATCTTAAGATCATTTAATAACTAGTCATAACATGCATATCACAAAGCATAAGACTTCCTCACCTCTCCGTCACCATCCGCGCTAGTTCATCACATGGCAGTTGGTCAAATCGCAAAACAACAAAGCGATTAAGCAAAGCACGTGAGAGACGTTTACGACCAGCGTAAGTACAAGCTGGGTTTTGTGTCGCAAATAATCGAAATTTAGGATGAGCTTTTACAACAGCATTTGTTTCAGCGATGAACAATTCACGATTATCATCCAATAACTAAAACTTTAAGTAAATAAAATTAAGAATGCAATCAAATATCTATTAGTACCAACAACAAGAAAGAAACTCGTATTTGCTCTTTTATAACCATGTATATCAGTAACTAGATCATGATGATCACAAATTAAAAAAATAATTTGTTAAGAGAAACTTCAATTTCAGATGAATGGTGAAGGAACATGAGAAAATGAATAAGTTAGACAAAAACACACCCTATTTAAAGCCTCAATGACATCTGTTGGTGCGAGATTCAATTCATCAAGAATAATCCAGTATCCATTTCGAGTAGCTTTAACTAACGGGCCTTCGACAAAAGCAAATCGACCATCACCATCTGGCACATATGATCCAATATATTCTTGAAGATCCGTATGCTCATGATTGTTAATGCGAATGACAGTATTCCCGGTGATTTTCGCAAGATGGAGTATCTGCAAGTTAATTACTTTAAAAGGATAAATTTTTTTATTGTTCAAAAGAGTTTTGAGCAATAAAAAAATACGCTCATTATTAAGATGACCTTTCAGTCACAAAAAGTCTTATACAAGTTTCGAATGATTATCGACTGGCTAAATTTTAAAAAATGTGGATAACATCTCACCCACCATAGCAGTTTTTCCGCAAGACGTTTCACCTTCCAACAGTACTGAAAACTTTCCACTACAAACCACTCGAGCAAGATGAGTTAAATTTTTTCTAACTGAAGGTGTATAAACATATTTAGGATCGTCTTGAAGTTCTAGATTTCCTTTTTCAATCCAGTACTGCTCAACTTTTCTAGAAAAAATAATGAAATGTGGATGTATTAATCACATGAAACAGATTGTAAAATGAACGAGTACCATTAACTACGAACTTTCTACTTAGTAATCCTGTTGAAATTTTCGAGTTCGAAGTAAACTGTTAAAAACGTTAATATTTCAAACTACCTTCATCTTTATAACTTATAATTAATGATTCTTCCAGTGAATAAAGAATCAGATTTCTATGACTCTAATAAACAAGTATTTGAATTCACTCAAAGAAAGCTTCCAATTAATCGCTTATAAGACAAGTTTACAATAAAAACAAAAAGTGAAAAGAAACACGAAAAGTTTACATACACATGATTCTCCATAAATTTTGCTGGTACTTTGCCCATCTGTACTTTACTTAATTTATTACGAATCAGCTTTTCAACTAAGACTTGCTCTTCGGTGCCAAGATTGCTCATAAATGACATCAATGCAGCTTCATACATACTACGTGTCTCACTTCCAAAAATATTTTCTGCCGTAAATGCTAACGCCCGACATAAAGTACGTAAACTAAAATTTAGATAAGTCAATGTCAAATTCTGAATACAACTATCATTTTTTTGAAATTTTACATTACGATCGCACAAGCAGTTATTGTTTAAATTATATACTTTGTATAATGTTCTCACTCTACGCATACATTACGGCATACCTATATTTTCTGGGGAGAGTTGCACGCAGTGTTTGATAAAGTTCTAGCAAAATGGATATTTTGGATACGTCAGTCGATGGTAGATATGCACGAGCAATTACATGTAACTGATCAATTTCAGTTGTCTCATGAACGAAGATTTCCGTAAATCGATTCCTATGAAAAACAAATAGTTTTTACTTATTATAGTGAAAGCAAATTACGAAAAATGTGACTACCTTATTCCATAGGGCAAATTTCGTTTCCCAATATCACTAGCAGGATTCATACAAGCAAATAAACGAAAATTTGAATGCTTTGATCTAGTATCTTCGGTCAAGTTTACGACGGCATCCAGACATTCAGGTGTCGCCAAATTGATTTCATCAATTAAGAGCCAGTCACCCCGACTAGCTGCCTTGAATAATTTAAAATGACCTGTAGCTTAAAACATGATCATATATAACAGATACTTGATTATATTAAATATTGGATACGCAACATTGTAAAGATTTACTTGCGCGACCGCTCCATGGATATAAGCAAATGAGAATGAAGATGAATTTAATGATTCTTTACAACGCTCTGCTCTAACGAGTAAATCAGCCCACAACTTTGCAATACGAATTTTCAGAGACATTCCCAGTGTTCTACGTGCTGTTTCCACAATCATCTTTACATAGTCACTATATCGTCCATTTGATAAACACATCTACAAACAAGCTTGTAGCTGTATAAAAATATTTTTATTCAAGAGATACCAACTTTGTGTTAAAGTTTTGTATATTTAAAAAAATAACAGTTGTATAAAACAGTAATGATGAGTTTAAATCATTATATAGACAAACTGCGTATGCTGTTTTTACCTCTGAAATTTTTTATACTATCTATTGATTGAAACTAAAAACGAGGGTTTTCTGAAATTTAGAGTGATCAATTCCACTTGAAAAAAGTGCTACAGATTTCTTTCTCTGCGTATTCCATACAACGCAGAATCAAAGAAAACCAGATGGTAAATACTACAATAAAATCTAACTTTCAAGTGTGACAGAAACTTTTCATTCTTCTTCATATCAAAAGTTGCAGCAAACAAGCGATCATAATCTTTTTTTAGCGGTTCTAACAAATGTCGTATTGACACTGGTTTATACCTCCAAAAAACTTTATTAGTAGGCTATATCAAATAAGAATACGAATATAAAATCAAATATATATTATGGAAAAATCACAAGTGTTTTGGAGAATTTAAAGCAGCTACATTTTTTGTGATCGCGTGCAAAGTGAGAATGAAAAATTGATAAATTTAGCTTACCCGCCAATCAGATCTGATGAATCAGAATGTTGACTTAGATTTACAACTCGAAGAGTGACACGAACATGATCAGCCAGCATTTGAATAACAGCTGTCTTACCGATACCAGTTTCACCAACAAGCAATACTGGTTCCATACGATTAACACAAACTGCTATTCGTTCTAACAACTGACAAACATCGCGTGTGAGACCAAAACGCTCCGATTTACTAAAGAATTCAAACATTTGATTAATTTTTGATTTCAACGCTACCTTAACCATTACTTTATTGAATTCACTACGATCTATATCAAAAAATAAATTTGCCATTCATTTATCAATTAATAATGTGTAGAAACAAACTAAAAAACTGCCTCAAAACATACGCAATGCCGAGATTAAAGTTAACCCTTCATTAAATTAACAATTATCTTACACACAAAGTCCATATTAACTTTTAAATGAATTGAAAACTTTGTCACCTTTTATCAACTATTATTGTTCGACTTTTCTTCAAATTTACTCGACCACACTTCACTTCATCCACTGTCACAAAAATTTCTGGCATTCGCAAATTCATCTCATAGAGGAACTGATCACTATTCAACGATAAATTATCGGCGATCATTCCTGATAGTCTAAGCACATCTTTCTTTTCATTACAGTGAACCGTCCAACAATCAACAAGTTCCCGAAGTACCGCTACTGAATCCGATAAATCATCCAAATCATTAAGACGTGCACATGCTTTCAATAAGTCCCTGAAGATACGGATTAAGCAATAATTTTTTAATACCTTTTTCACTTTTCAGTAAAAAATTGAAGAAAGAATAAAACTTTGTTGCAAATCTTACGTTGTGCCCAACTGTCTTTTATCCACCCTATTTATTACATGCAGTGCGAGCTCACTGAAAAGATCTATCAATTTTTGACCAATTCCAGCGACCCTGGTATATAATATGGAAATCGCACGAAATAATTCTTCATTAGTGAAAGGTGGCAATGAAATTTCAAATGGAAGAGAGGTGATTAACATTTCGCTGTCGACTGATTTAAAGCTTCTTTTGTGCTCAATATTCCTGAAGACTCACGAATTTTCACTTCAAATGCTTTCTGTAGTAATGTTTCACTTTCATTTGTAAGTCTGCATTTATATTCGATAAAGATAAAGATATTACTGAATGTAGGTTGATCAAAAATACCTAAAAACTGAGTCTTGAAAAAAAACCTTATTGTGAAGACAATATAAGCTTCACGGTGCATCTGTATTATTTCGCCAGACATTAAGCGAACTTTGCGATCATTACATAAATCGATTATCTGAGATATCAAATCAGCTGGAGCACTATCAACGTCCTCAAACAATATAATCCCACGTTCTCGAATATACTAGAAAATATTTTGACTTTTGGAATTTTAAATCAAAATTTGTGAATAATTTAACAGGCTTTTCAACTGGAAACAACAACTGATAAGAATCTATTTTTGCACTTAAAACAGTTAAACGCGACAAATGTGACAGCACTTTTCTTCTTTCGTGAAGGGAAATTTGCGATATTTACCTTCAACTTAGTCAAGTTAAGAAGCCAAAATTCTAACAAGAAATCTACATAGTACTCTATCAAAAGTCATCAAAAAATGGGAAAGAAATTCAGGATATTCCATTATTATAAGGTATGACTATTCCTTGGAAAATTTTATCACCTTTAAAAGTGTTTAATTTCTTAATTCACTTCTATTACTTTACTTTCTAATTAATATTTTAAAATCAGCGTCAACTGATTAAAAAGCCTAGTTTTCTGTTCGGGAGACTAAAGATTCTTATCAGTACCCAAGGTAGAATGAAAACAATTAAATTGACAACGTCTAATTACCGACTACAATGATGAAAGTAAAGAACTTTGACGGTCAAATTACCTTTGCGAAATTACTTTCTTTCCAGTGAAATTCACCAGCTACATCAAGACAATGAAATGTCCCAAATAAACTTTTAGAATCAATTTGATCACTCATTTGTATGATTCGACATGGTAAATCCAATTCTTGAGCAACTTCCTTTACTATAAAGGTCTTACCACTACCAGTGGGACCCTAAATTCGATCTTTTACCAAAAAAATATAGACTTATTTTTCGGAAGAAACATAAACTTGATGTGATCAAATGCAATAAAACTTGGTTCCTACTAGTTTTAAATCTAAATCATCTAGTTAAATAATCTATGCATCCCATACAGCTCCTAAGCAGAATAATTGAGGAAAACCTGTATGAGGACTATCGTGTGACTTTCAAGACCAATCATCAACTGACGGCGATATCCAGCCCTAGAAGGCATATCCAACTTGCAATGGTTTCCTTCATTTCCTTCATAAGTACTGCAGTCACCCATTGATTTTTTGCTTATTTTCATATTCTGTACTTCATCAACTGGTGAAGACCTCCTTTTTCTACCTCTTGAATCCCTTGTATTCATATTTTGTACTGAAATTTGAGAAAGTCTACTTTCATTACATTATCAGGAGCTAAGTTATGCATGACCTTACAGACTCTATATAATGAAATTTAAATAAGCTAAGCAGCATGTACTTCAGTTTCCCAGTCCAAGTAGAACCTTACTTGTTTTATACCATAACAGAAACCCTCATATTTTATAACATAACAGATACTATTTCAATTTCAATAATCAGTATTCGAACTGATAAAACAAACTTCATACGAACTTTCATTGTAGTAAGTAACAAAAACAAACGACGTAACAAGCTAGGGGCCGAAATTAAGACGCAAAATTAAAGTTTAAAAAACACTACAATAAAATATATTGTGCAAAGTGGAGAGCTGCCAATTTAATACTTGGGCAATTTCTTATATACACGAAAAGTTAAACAACAATTGCTGAAATCCCTATATACAAACTACTTCTATTACATGAAAACAATCTATATGAGCTATATTTCACATACGTGAATCAAGTGAAACACGCTACAGATCAATGATTCTGAGATAAATACAAATGAAATAAAATTAACAAATAAAACGATTTGAAATAAAATGTGCTCGAATCACATTATCAGTTTTAAAAATTTTACTACAGATTCCAAGACAAAACTCAAAGTTCTGGCTTTATAAAATATGACCACGAAAATGGATTTATATGATCGTCTAAAACTTTTTATGATTCAATAAACATAATAAATCAAAAAAAAAGGAAATGAACATTGTAAGATCATTCTCAAAGTCAGTTCAGTGAAATCGTGAAATGATAAATGGAAGTAATTATGGTGGTAAGTGACATACGACACCAGAAGAATCGATCGCTGAATATAAAAAAACATTTTTAAGTGGTTCGTCCTTTTGTGAAAGTACCTGAAATTTTGAAGTGACAAGAACAAACTTAAAACTAAACTTCAGACTTTGACAAGAAAAACTAATATCTCTAAAAAATCACCTTTATTGCTTCTTGTGCCATAAGCGCTCCAACTATAGCAGCTGCAGGACTAAGTTGAGGTGAAATAAACCTGAAAATATCTTAAGTTCAGCTAAATGTTCAAAACTTTTTTAAAACTCCTAAGACATTGGCTGCTTTCGGAAAAGTACAAAACTCTTCGAAAAATCGATACGCTGTTTCATTTGTAAAGCGAAAATATTGAAGAAATCGCAATAATGAAACATTATGCAAAGCACATATAATGGATACTCAAATTTTGAAACAAAATGACTACATTATTGAAGACTAACCGCGAGAAAAATTTAATATCGAAAAATTCATCATTTAAATCCTGATTGCACTCTACCAATTCCTTTTTCCATGACTCCATAAATTTGTCCTGGTTAATATTATCATCAACATCATACAGCCGAAGCAAAACTAAAAAATACTGTCCGTATAAGATTTTTTTCAAATTCCAACACTGTAAGAGAGTTTGATTACTGAATCTTATGACTTTCTTATCTCGTTGGACTTGTTTAAGTCTGGAGCACCCCGAAATCTTAAAATCTTTTAATGACTCAAAATGCCTCAGCTTCATAAATATGAAGTATACCTCTAATGGGAAAATAAGATCTCGGCAAATATCGTCGTTTTTTGCGAATAAATTTTTTATGTGACCAATCAACATTCCAGGCATCATGCCACAATGGATATGTGAATTTCTGAAAAAAGAGCAGAACAAAGAATAATGTGTCCAGTTATGTACTGCTTAAGTCCAATTATGCGATTAATAACTACTAATGATTGCAAAAAGTGAACTAAATAAATAAAGAATTGTGTAATAACTGCAATTAATGAAAAATTGGCAACTAGTAACTTATTTATATCATTGACAGGTAAGACACATGTGTCACGTGAAAAATAAAATACTTCATTAATAGAGACCGAAAATTAATCGTGCCCAAATAAACTCTAACCTTCTCTACTTTCTCGTCGTCATCCAGTACAACATCCAATGGTGCCGCATTATGATCACTGACCATTCCATTTTTTATACCAACATCAAGTCTAGGACGCTTTTTATCTAATACTTCATCTTCCAATACACCACCCAGACTTACTTTTGGTATTGTTCTAAAATTCATATCTCATCATATTCAAATGACAAAAGAACAATTGAAACAACAGAAAAATATATTTAAAACAGTAATATTTAATATGTTTAATTAATTCAGCTGAGAAGGTAACCAAGTTTCTATACCTTTCAAATGCCTAATTAAAAACAAAGCACCTCAATGAACTCACATTAAAAATGGGCAATCTGTAAAATCAAAGAACGCATATCCAATCCAACCAAAAACACCTCCAGCAATAAATCTAAAAATGAAAATCAACCAATAAACTTACTTATAATGATCCTTATTAGATGCTCTCATGTGCTGAAAAATGTTGCTTCTCATGAGGCACTGATAAGTTTTTCAATTTAAAACAGAGAATGCTAGTGCATTAGCATTTTTAATTGCCTGCTATCAAAAATGATCACAAACTACTCATTGTACACGTACTTTGATTCCTCATACAATAAAGTGATTCTAAATAAACTTTTATATCTTATTTTAATATCACAATGCTTAAAAGACATTAAATGTAGTAAAACTTACGGTTTTCCAATTTTTCTGCAGATTTTATTTATATCACTGACCACAGAATACTTTTGATCCACCAAAATTACTAAATCAAAACCAGCGAAAAAATCTTCATCTTTATTGGTTATATCATCAGTATCCACGCGTAAATGCACATTGGGATTTAATACTTTACATTTATGCAACGATGCTTCAGCACGCTGAAAAAAAAGTTTAATAAGACTTGATTCCCCAATTTCAAAATTTAAAACCAAGTTCTTTTCAAAGCCATAGTAATGAAATATTGCTCACAAAAGTGCCGGAAACATTTCCTGATTTGATGCGAATAAATACTTTTTCAATGTCTGATACTAAATAATGTGGAATGAACTTCAACATTCACACATGATTCCTCTACATTTTTAGACTCCAAAGTTATATTGATTTGGGAGACTCCGTCCCGAAACAATGATTTGAAAGAATGAACTACGCGTAAACGAAAACTTTAGATTCGAAAAGCTACATGACTGAATTTGGTTTATAGAGTGAAGACATACATTTTTACCTACACTGTCACACGACAGTAAGAGCTGACTGCAGTGATCGTATGGAGATACCTGTAAAAAATAATTGCAAGATTGAAGGTCGCTTCATTCTCATAGTTTCTAATATTTCATTATCAAAAATTAACTGAAAAAAAACCAAAGCAGTCAGTAGGAATCATTCATGATAACTTTACATGAAGATTCCGTACTGCATAGTTTTTAAATATATAACTTTGGCATATATGTTTGAAAGTATCAAACATATATTAAGCATTCAAGCATAAAATGCTATATTTTTGGATATATAATACATATCATTCTCACATCAATAGAATACATATTATACATGTATTCTATCACAAAAAATCTCTAGTTTTAACCGTCTTGTGATCCAAAAGAGTTAATGACTTTAGTCCAGCCAACATCAAATTCTTCGCAACTTCGCTTCCACAGCCAGATAAGCCAGCAATTAATACCGAAGAACTTCGCAACCTGTACAAAATTCAGTCTTCCTTATTACCTAAACTCTCAAACTTTAACAAAGTAATAAGCATACAATGACATTAGAAAAATTATAAGTAAAACCTATTTTGAGCTTCTAATCCCCATAAGCGAATCTGTCGATCATAGAAAGCTTTCTCATCGTCCGTAATTGTTCCATTGTCAGACGACATCTTTTTACAACTCTATCTAAAATGTCAAAAAATATTTCTATCTCTAAAAGGCAGCTCACTCTCTACCTACATTTATATCTCAAAACTTTGATCAAACACATTGCACTAATAATTAATTAATCCTAAAAAGCAAAGAAAACACGGACAAATTTTTGAGGATCGCATTTTCACGTTGAATTTAACTCCGGCCACCCGTGAAGTACTGGCCAACGGCATGGACAAAAATTTTTTATTTAAATTCATAGACAAATAATAGATTCTGGTTCCGATTAGAATATTAAAATAAATATTCTAATCGGAACCAGAATCTTTACTAGAGTTTTGATACAAAAGGGTCTTATTTTTTGATGGATTCTGTAGGATTTTGGTCCTGATCAGAATACTTATTCAAATATGTCGTATAGACCTCAACTATATTTTCTTGTTAAAGAATCCTTATGAATTTATAATTCTTACCACAAAGTTTCAATTTAACATCTAAACAGATGACATTTTCTGGAAGCGCGCAGAAGATTTCTCTATATTCAAAATATTTGTTTATAGAAAATGTTATTGAGTTTATGAAAATTTTTCATCTCATTAATTATTAATTAATTAATTAATCTTACACAGACAGAAGATCTCAAGAGATTCATTGAGATCTTCTGCCTGTGTAAAAGTGATTTTTGTAAAATAGAAAACTTGAATGAACTTATTTGTCAGAATTGAGATTCATTGAGATTCTGACAAATAAATGAAGTTAACATCGAAAAATTAATTCATTACAATAAGTTAATATAATTAAAACAGATTTTAATATCGTTTTCAAGTGTTTATTTTAAACGGCTTCGCAAGCACAAAAAGATTCTTAACTCAATCAGCTAAAGCTGTGAAACATTGCGGATTAATATTTTCGAAAATTCTGCAAAATTCTAATCAGATAGTTTTAGAAGTTGTTAGTTTATTTTGTTAAAATATTTAAAGATTAGCATTTATGCAAATTTTCCAATGTCTTAATAATTTCTTACAGATTTTTATATTTTTTGAAGTTTTAAATGCTTGTATTCTATTTATTGTATTTCTGCTGCACGAAAACGATTAAAAATGTGCTTCTGAAAGAATTAACTTTAAAACTGATGCATATTTCGATAGTGCTATGAATATCTGTTATCAGATATTTCTAGGATATCATCAAGGTCATATAGAAGAATCAGAAAATAAAAACTTATAATTTTTCATATCCAAATGTAGCTGAGCATAACACATTATTTTTCAAGCAACAGCTGTTTGTTATAGTGTCATTATTTGCGGGTTAGAGGTCATGGTCTACATGTATAAGGTGCACATGTTGCTCTAATGACCTTTCCATGTTCTACAGATTTTCTTCTGCTATTATTTTATCTGATTCTGATCATAATAAAAAATTGGTTGATGCAAAGAAAACACAAATTTAGTAAAGTATAGAATGAAAGCTATTTGAACGACATGAAAGTTTGGTACTGTAGCGAAGTTTTTATATATACTGATTACAAGTTAACCTTTGACTTCTGAAATTTATTACAAATTTGTAAACGCTTTGTAAAAAGTATAAAAAATTTATTTTGGTTTTAAGGATCAAATTATCAGACACTATTTTTCTAAAGTCAAAAAAAATTACAAAAATATTTTTTACTCAGTGTTACTATTTTTTTTAAATTATCGCTAAATATGACTTTCAACGAGTGACCGTTTTTTATTTTTTAAATATTTTTTACTTTTTGTTTTTTTTAAGCATTTTTCGCTCCTAACTACTTAGACAGATTTACTGCAATTGAAATATTGACGCTTCTACCATTACCTTCTTGATAACATCACCTGAGAAATCTGAATTAATCCTTTAATTACAGTCAATCATAATAGCTTCGCATAATTAGCTTTTTAATTACCACAAAAACATTGGTAATGCGATTTGCGCGAAATATAGAACCGCCCATACAGTACCAGAAACGTCATATGAAGATATCATGTGTAAAAAATTTGCTAGATGACCTCACAATCATCAGTTTTATCTGAGGTTACGGTCAGGTCAACAAGGTTACATTAGTTCTGGATTCAATAAATGCTATAGTAAGTCATGAACTTTATTTACAGCAACTGAAATTATACTAAAAATAAATGTAGCGATGTTTGTCGATCGTTTATTTAAAATTTATTCGTATCAGATTTCGATAATTTTTGAAAGTATTACTAATTTTTATTTTGTGAAATTCTTATTCAATGTTAATTTTTTTGCTGCTTCTAAGTAAGACTTAGTTTTAAAGTATAAAAAAGTTTGCTAGTTAAGTTTTCTTGTATTGCTAATCATTTAATGCGGTCGTGGATTAAACAGCATGTTTAAAAATGTAATTAAAAAGAAATTTAATTAGAATATTTAATCATGCACATATCTATCTGATTGAACCTTCTATGTTATTTTAAGGTGTCAAATGTCAATATACTGCAAAAAAGCGGATGAATGCTGTATTACTTCAGACTATCAATTTCCACAATGTATAAATAATTTAAAAAATGACCTCGAAAAATATTTGAGCGATGACCTCAAAAAATATTTGAGCAATGACCTCAAAAGAATTGAAAAGAATCATCACTGCAGTTGGAATCATTCTTATGTAAAAATAAATGTGGATGATGTTTATGCGTGGGATAGAAAATGCAGAAAAAGTGATAAGATTATCAAATGTTCAAGGATAAATTTGAATATTCAAAGTAAAGGTATGATTTTCTAATGAATTTTTAGCACTAATAATATTTGAAGTTTGTACTAAAAATGAATATTCTTGCTATTAATGAATACTTATATTGATTACATTTGTTTTACTTATATTCTCAATTTTGAGTTTTTGATTTTTTGAGTCAAACGAAAATTTATTCATAATTTTTGCAGTTCAAAAGGTATGCACGTATTATTTATTAAAAAAACAATAATTTCTTTTGTTTTTTGTTTTTTTTTTCAGTTTCCAATTATTGCTATGAAACAACACAAGAAATTGGACTACAGCTATTATCACTCGCTGATTCGTTTGATGCAAATTTTTTCGAAATTATAACTCAAAAAAATAATTATTTACCGCCAATTATTTGTAAATTTTTAAGTTTTTTTACTGCAATTTGTAAAATTTTAAGTTAATAAACTTTTTTTCAGTTTTTTTGCATTACTGTATTTTCAAAAATTAAAAGCATACATAAATAAAACTGACTAATAACAGTCGACATTAATTTTATTGATTAGATCAAAAGTAATCAAAGGAATTTGTAATATTTATTCTTAAATTGATTTTTTCTCTAAGAATGCAAAAATAATTTTTAAAAAATTATAAAAGTTTTTGCTATCTAATAAAAAAATTGCTCAAAAGTTGTTCAACCGTTTATCGAATTTATGATTTATTTATTGATTTGTTGATCTATTCACTGACTTGTTGATTTATTCAATTTGCATCAAAATGAGTTATTTGTTGTAGTATCAAAGTGACCGAAGGATTAATTGTCCGTTTAAATAAGCTAAATATAATAACATAAAGTGGCCGAAAGGTTAATGCTCCGTTTAATTAAGCTAAATACAATAACTAAGTATAAATACAATATAATAATATACTGCGAAGGGTAATTAGTTCCTGAGCATAAGAAACGAATTATCAATAGCGGAATGCATCTTTTCATTAATAATTTAATTAATACAAATTTGAGCGAAATGAGATGAAAGATATTTTATTTATTCAAAACTGTCTTTTCCTATCCACCAAATGTTATCATTTTGCTAAGCTCATAGAGTTGTTTACTTTTTGTATAAGTTATTTTGCTTTAATTACTTATTATTTTAGCAAAGAAACAGTACCTGTAAGTGAATGTAATATAATTAATTACCCGCAGATATTAATATTTTAATTAATAATCTTTTATGGACATAATTAGTCTTTTGTTTATTAATTTATTTTTCAGTGTAATTTTTATTTTATTATTGATTTTCCGTGTAAATTTAACGCTAACTTGAACTATACACTCAAATATTTTTACCAAATCAGAATTATTTTTAACATTTTTTATCATGCACAATAGTTTAGTCTTACATGATGTTGAAGCTTTGTAGACAATACACTGTAATCAAACTTGAAATTTCTCACTTAAATTTCGGCTGAAAAATAGTACTTAATTTTCGACCAAAAGTTTAAGGTTGCATTAAACTTATGTCAATATGACCTTTGACATGACTCAATATAACACTTAATCTTAAGGCTTCTTCATTGAACTGAAGCAGAATAATCAAAATTTTTTAAGCATAATTTTGCAATAGTACTGTGTTAAATTTAAGCGTTAAAAAATATTTACATAAAGTTGAAGTATTCATCACTTAAATTTAAATACAAAATATTTAAATAAAATGTGAGTGAATATTTACCAAGTTAAAATAAACTTATCGAGCACTTAATTTTTCATATAAAATTAATTATTTCAAATTCCTTTTGTAAGAGAAGAAAGATTGCATGGTACAAATTGAATTGATTTAGAAATATTCTAATTACGGATATTATGCTTATTCTTCTACGTACAACTCTGAATCTTGTCAGAATATTAATCTTTTTAAATGCTTGTTCTTTATCATACTTATGCTTGATTATGCAGAAAATATCTTTGTCAGAATTAGCAAGAATTTCGGGTTATCAACTTATCTACTCTGCTTAAGTACCAGCAAGTTCCATTTTTCAGACTATCTAATGCAAAATATAAAAAAATTAAAATTACCCAACTGCTGGATATGTATTAAGATAACTTTTTACTAGTCTTGAAATGCTTCAGAATTACTTATCTCTCATAATTTGCGATTTGAATGCTAACATAATAAATTGGTATTAATTCATCTATGCAACAACAAAAAAAAACAAATTATTTTATCCAGCAAAATTCTGCTAGATTATTTTGCGTTTTAGTGTTGACTAAGAGCTGAATTTTATCTAGTTCATCTACTGACAAATGTTTTTTTTACAAGG